GCTTCCTTCTTTGTCTGTTGGTTACACCTTTCAGTTGGTTGCCCTTCTAAGCACAGTCTGGCTGAAAGAGATGCTGTTTCTTGGCAAGTACAAAATCCTCGACGTCCTGGTGAACCCAACAAGCTCGCTGGCCTTCTTCAACAGCTGTCTCAACCCCATGCTCTACGTCTTCGTGGGCCAGGACTTGCGGGAGAGACTCCTCCACTCCCTGCCTGCCAGTCTGGAGAGGGCCCTGAGTGAGGACACCACCCCAACCAGTGACACAGCTGCCAACGTGGCTTCCCCGCATCCCGAGACTGAGTTACAGAGGATGTGAGGAAGGGGCTCAGGGACACCTTGGAACTGTGCCTCATTGGACCCTGGCCCGAGTCCCAGCCGCATCCTGCCTTGTGTGGTCTGGGGCCGCTCGGCTGACTACGAGTTGCTCAGGGATTACTTCTGCACCCCTGGTTTGTTGATCCTGCAGACGACGTGCGGTGTAACGACTGTGGCTGTCACTTTAGGGTTTGAGAGCTCCGCCTGGATCCTGGGCTGAGCGGACATGGGCAAAGAGTGTAAGAACACTTGAACACATGATGGGATTTCCAAGACTGAGATGACGACAGACTGAGGAGGAAAAAGCTTTCTTGTTTTCTTATCACCATGAAGGAAACTGTATAGGATCTTGTGGAAATGTTTCTTTTAAATTAGACTGAATATTTTCCCTTATTCCAATTTTTTTTTCCTGTAAGAGTGATCTTTAAAAATAAAGGACATTGACAAGTGGGTGTTGGAATTTGTCTACTTATTACAAATGCCTCATTTTGTTCACATCACCCTACATCATGCTGACTCATTTCAAATACCCAACTACCGTTGCATTTCTTGGGTGAACGACACTTGGTTGGGACACAGTTTATAAATCAGTGTCAGTGACTTGCTTCTGTTTCTTGTTCACAGAAAGATGGCTTCCCTACCTACTTTCCTTGAATGTCACTGTGAGGTCTGACATCACGCTGGCAGAGAACGAGCTCTCCGTATTCTCGATGATACCTCGTTTAAATACGTCTAAAATTCCCCAGTAAAGCCAATGGGGTCTTGCACTGTCTTCCTGGGAAGGCTTTTAATTACGAGTTCCATTCAGATGATAGCTGGAAGAATTCCTGGTCATTTTTTCTCCTCTTTCAGTTTTGATACAATGTGATTTTTACTGGAATTTGATCACTTCATTCAAACTGTCAAATGTATTGTGCACAACACTTGACGTGGTTTCTCCCCTGAGAATGGAAGCAAGCTTCAGGCAGACATAAGCTGTGCTGCTCAGCATCGCTGATGTGTAAAATAGTGCCCGTTTTTAAATAAAGACTTTTATACGTGTATTTCAACAGTGAATCAAGAAGTAGTAGCATCACCTGGGTATCAAGTGAGAACTTTAATTGAATAATTACGTCCACCTTTGATAACAAACCATATCCAGTGAATTCCTACTGTCCTGCCAACAATATTTATGAATCCCATGTGGGTTACATTTTGAAAAAATCATTTATTTGAGAGTTACAGAGAAAAAGGGAGAGACACAAAGGGAGATCGTCCATGTGCTGGTTCACTCCCCAGCTGGGAAGCCAGACGCCAGGAACCAGGAGGCAGGAGCTTCATCTGGGTCTCCTGTGTGGGTGCAGGGTCCCAAACCCTTGGACCATCCTCTACTGCTGCTCTCATCCCATTATCAGGGAGCTGGGCCAGAAGTGGAGCAGCAGGCACCTCGCCATCACCCAACGAGATGCACATGGTTCAATCTGCTACAGCACAAAGCCAACCTCGTGGACTGCATTGTGATGAATATCTCTGAGTTTTAATTTCTACTTCAGTGCTCCATCTGGTATTTCTTAATGACTCTATTCTGAAATAAGTCGATCTGCAATGGTACCACACCCTTTGCACAAATGGGTCTTCATTTTCCTGATGTGCTGGCAAAGAAACAACTCAGAATGAGTATTAGGTCATCAGAATTCATCACATCATTGCTGTACTCACCATCTTTCTGCTCCTTTTCCTGTCCAGGCCACAACGCCAGGCCCTGCACAGAAGTTTATCCCTTTAATTTGCATTTTTGACTCCTATAAGCCCTTTCAAGTTTACACACACACACACACACACACACACAGAGAGAATTTAATTCTGAAGAAAGCATGTCCACAGGAAACAGTTAAAAAGAATGCAAAAGAGTCTGGTGTGGTAGCCTAGTGGCTAAAATTCTTGCCCCACATCGGGGACCCTGCGATGGGTGGGAGGGTGGATGCGGCTTCTTCCTTCGTCTCTCCCATCCCCCAGATTCAGGGAGGAAAACCGAGAATGTGGAAACAATTGTCCTGTCCACTTTCAGGTCGCCCTTGGCCCTTTGTGCCTTAATCAACTACATAAAGAGCATCAAAATTTAAAAAAAGCTTGGACAGACACCGAGAGAGAGAGCACGCATAAGCGTATGAGAAGTCACTTTTGACCCTGATGTGTAAAGTGGACTAAAACCCAAGAAGCTGTGGCTGCATAGCAGCTACAACGGCTGTAACTACAGACTGGGCACAGAGGCGGAGTCACAGCCGCTCTCGGGCACTGGTGGTGGAAGCAGCAGAGCTGTAGACATCCCGATTTGTGTTGTGAATATACGTTACACCTGGATTTATCATAGACACAGCACACACACAGATCCTAGGTTCTCCATGAGCTGGGAGAAGACGCACGGGCACATTGTGTGCCTGTGTCTGTAACTGCTGTGCCGTGTGCAGCAGCCGGCCAGCAAGCCAGCGTGGGCCAGCATGAACCAGCTTAGCCAGTGTGGGCCGGCATGAACCAGCGTGGGCCAGCATGTGCCGGCATGTGCCAGTGTTGGCCAGCATGGGCCAGCGTGAGCCAACGTGAACCAGCAGAGCCAGTGTGGACTGGCATGAACCAGCATGGACCAGCATGGGCCAGCGTGTGCCAGCGTGGGCCAGCGTAAGCCAGAATTAGCCAGCATGGGCCAGCGTGAACCAGCAGAGCCAGTGTGGGCCAGCATGAACCAGCATGGGCCAGCGTGGGCCAGCGTGGACAGTCATGACTCCCAGTCACGATCCCATTAGAGAGCAGAAAGCAGTTGGAGCACCCACCGGGATAATTCAATTCATGTGAATTATTGAAATAGACCAGCCATCAGAGAGTGGTTTCAAACAGAAGAAGAGGAAGAAGAACTAAAAACTTTTTCTCTGCCAAACAGAGAAACAAAAGTTGACGTCCACAAACGCCATTGTCTGTAGGCAGCCCAGTTGTTCTTTTCTTAAACTCTATCAGATGCTTGTCTTGGTGGATTTCTAGAATCAGCTGGATTGATGCTCGGTTCCTATCACTCTAGCCTCTTTTCTAACCTCGGCCCAGCACTCTGAGGAATGACTCCTCTTCAGCTTCCCCCTGAGTCTGAGTCTGGCCTCTCAAAGCCCCACAGTCCATGTTCTTTTCCTGCCGGTCCCTAAGTCATCCCTATCCAGTCCATCCTCCTCAGCTCTCTCCATGAGCCTGTGTCCGTCGTGCCTCTCCCCACCAAGTTCATTGTCTCAGGCTCCAACTCCTTCACCTACACTACACTCAACACATGACAGCCAGTCAAGGTCAGCCACCTGCGTCTGTATCGCCCTTCCCTCACACCAAAACAAAGCTCTTCACTCGCCCTTTCCACCTTAACTGGATACTGGCTAATGTGCCATGCCTAATGCCGCCTTGGTTGTCACATTGCTTCCCCACCCAAATCCTAATACCTCCAACACCCTTCACTTGTGGCACAGTTTACTCCCTTTTAATTTTACACTAAACATCACCCTCGAACTCCTAACCAGCGCTTAGCGTCCTTCATGCCTATGTCTGCCTTTGCTTGTGTCCCTGTTGCACGTCTGTCACATTGTACCCCCTAACTATGGCTTTAGTTTTCCTCAGTCAATTGCAGTCTGAAAATGCTTGATGAGAAGCTGAAGGATTGTAAGGGTGTCCGGTGCATCTGAAGAAATGATTAATATTCTCTTACAGCAGTTGCTTTGCCTCCCAATACTGTGACCTGCCAGTGGAGCCTCGCATTTCTTCTTTCATCTAGGCAGTGTAACACTTCCCAGCCATGCTCTTACCTGGCCCATAGCCCCTCCCACTTATTTTACATGCTCCTCCAGCGGGGCACACACCCATTGCTTCTTCCAAGAGCACACCTGAGCCTGAATCTTGATTAATTGCCACCTGGACAATCAGTCCAATTTGATAGAACAGTTAGGGAGCTACACAGACTGTATTCAGTAACACGTAACATTCCATCTGGAAACTCTGGAAGTCGGAGTGAAGCCTGACACCCATTCAGAGATTGTGGCAGAAGACAGGCACAGTCTTAGATTGACATGCAAGGCCTTTATTATGACACAGCAGGCAGAATGAACATCCCAGTTGCCACGGTGTGCCTTGCAGCCCCGCACCCCATGCTGTTATGTATGGACACTTCACATGGAGCAAGGCTGCATCCTACAGAACATCCCCTAAGCACAGGAAAATTCAAGAGGAAAAATGCCTCTTAGACAATCCCTGAACAACCTCCACACTTTTTGTCCAAAAGAGAGAGATCGCCTTTATTTATTCAAGGTAGGAACAAGTCTGCCTACTGCTCCCGACTCCCAAGGCTGGTGTTCACGTGAATATCTAACAAGGCACAGTCAACCCCCAAGGCTGCTCACAAGGCCAACATAGAAGCTCATGGAGAATTCTCTTCCAACTCCCTTCACTCTATGTGCTCCTGGAAACATTCCTTACAAATGTGCTGGTTTGGAAGGACTGACTCAATTCCTGCAGTCTGGCTGAAACAGCACCTGCCTGAGGGCTATTTCACCAGGCATCAAACTGGAGACTCTGCCGTGATCACCTCTGCTCTGTCCCTGGAGGGACATATGTCTCCCATTCAACCAACGTTCACCCACAAATATCTATTTGGATGGCAACAGGTGAGGAGAGATGAATTCAACTTATGGCTTTCTGATACGGAGTTTTGTGTTCCTAACGCAATGAAAGCAGAATCTAGACACATGGGGGTCACGGCTCATAAAGATAAAGGGGCTAACAGTGGGGAAAAACCCAGCATTCAGTTCATTGATGCTTCCCAGCCACCAGCTGCAATCATCGGAGATGGATTGGTATGCGTTAAGGATGGAGGAGAGGGTGTAGGACGACGCAAAGGTACACACCAGGGCGAGGATGCTCTGGGTGGCTCTGATTTCCCGGGAGGAGCCCGGAGAGTGCCAAGATCCATGAAGGTGTTGCACCTGTTGCTTGTGCCTGTACAGAATGAACATCATGGAGCCACTGGACCAGATAATGAGCACAGAGAACACGACTTCTGGGAACACAATGAATGCCATGTATAACAAGCTGGCCACTGGGTCATGGTCTACAGAACAGAGCCCTAGGTACGTTTTCTTTGTCATGTTTTTGCTATTCCTTGTGTTGGAGTAAAAGAAAGCAAAAACAAGGCTGATCACCATGTACAGCACCCAGCAGAGGTAAATGAAGAACCGAAGGTGCTTTGTGGCTCTCACTTTGAGACCTTGCCAACGGGAGTTCATGGGGCTGATGGTGGTGGCCTGGAAGACGCTCAAGAGGCAGATGCTGCTCACGGACACGCTCCTGCCCACTCTATGAACATACAGAGCGAGTCTGCATGCGAAGTCAAGGAAGAGATGTTTGAACCCGAAAGCTGTCATCATATGGGGAACTCCGGTAGAAAGAAGCAACAAGCAGTTGGCCATCATCAGGTGCCTGAGAATCAAGTCGGTAGACCGGAACTTGTGTTTGGAGTCATAAAAGAATGTTTGGTAGTAAAGGACAGAGAAATTGCCCAGGATCCCGACAGCGTTCTGTGCTAAGCAGATCATTCCGCTGAAGAAATCCCCGAAGATCATCCCTCCACTCACACTTCAAATGATCGCAATCGGTTCTCGCAGCAAAAACACGAGGATTTTGACCCCAAGAGTCACTTCACCATGTACTGCTGTGCGATTTCTTCAGACAGCAAGATGCACATGGTGATGGAGGATTACCAGTTAAATTCCGCATCAACCAGAGGCATGAGGTGGTGTGCTGCTGGGGGAAGCGATGAACAGGAGCAAAGGGAAAGAAACCAAATCAATATTGCCAGACTGAACTGATATTTTCTCGACACAGAAATTTAACAGACCACAGTAGCTACTGTCCACACCACAGCAAGTCAGACTGTTGCTGATCTGGATTTTGAAGATAGACGACAGAAATTGTATGAAATATTTATGATCTTGGAATAAGTGAATGGGCCAAGTGTGATGCCTAGTGGCTAATGTCCTCACCTTGAATGTGTGGGATCCCATATGAGCACTGGTTCTAATCCCAGCAGCTCTGCTTCCCATCCAGCTCCCTGCTTGTGGCCTGAGAAAGCAGTCGAGGACGGCCCAACTGGGAGCCTGCACTTGCGTGGGAGACCTGGAGGAAGTTCCTGGCTCCTGGCTTCAGATCAGCGCAGCTCCAGGTGTTGCAGTCACTTGGGGAGTGAATCATCGGACGGAAGATCTGCCTCTCTGTCTCTCCTCTGTGTACATCTGACTTAAAAAAGTGAAGAAGCAGCAGCAGCGTATGATGCTTAAACAGCACAAAACATTATCTATGGTTAGAATGAGAAACTGGATCGTGTTTAAGTTGGGTCTGTTCAAAGAAGACATGTGTGACACACACCAGACTGTATTTAATGCAAAGACTCCCTAAAGAACACGCGGAATTTAATATAGGCAAAGCAGTTCAACGGTGGCTTCCAAAATAGTCTGTTGTTAAATAAATACATGGGAATGTTCCGTGTTCTTGGTTTTCATGGAAATTCACTTAAAATCACTCCCTGGTATGATCACACGCCAAGCAGAGAGCAAAATGGCATAGGACAGGTGACCTGGCACGGGGATGAAGCCACCACCTCGGAGGAGTGCTGGGCTCTGGTCCCTCCTCTGCTTCAGATCCAACTTTCCATTAAAGCAATCCTCGGGAGGCTCAAGGGTTGGTCCCTTCCTGGAAGACCTCAATGGAGTTATGGGCCCTTGACTTTGCCTCACTTTGCCTGGCGGCTGTGTGGACGGGCCCAGCACACAGTCCATCTCTCCCTCCAGCTGCCTCTTCACCACACCACTGCTTTCTCTGTCCTCTTACTTCGACTCAGTGAAAAGACCGGGAAGGGAGCAAATTTAGCACAGTGAAGACACCAGTTCCAACCTCCTGGCTTTAGCCGGGCCCAGCTCCAACATCGTGGGCATTTGGGGGAGTGAAATGGCAAAAGGAAAACTTCTCTATGCCTTTCAAATAGATGAAAAATCAAAATTTACAATGGCAGGAAATAGCCAGCAATGGAAAGGGTGTGGCTAAAACCATCACACACTGGCGATAAGGGATAAAACTGGATAAAACTGGTGCAGTGTAGGCAGAATATAAACACATACACCAACAATTTGTTTTCCAGATCCACCCAGATAAATATGTGTTATCAATGATTCCAGAATTGACACACCAGCCTTGGTGATAACAACATCAACTTGAAGACCATCCACATCCCCATTAAGAGTAGAATAGCTCCATCCATTGTTTGATATTCACACAGTGGATCCCTTATGCTTACAATAACATTATACAAATACAACCATCCTATACACTCCTGTAATAGCAATGAGCATCAACGCCACATTCAAAAATCATGTAGGATTTAAAGAGGGTTTTTGGTATAGAATTACATTTACGCCAAAGAAAAAAACAGGCAAAAATGATGTAATCTCCAAAATGCCAGAATATATGTCATCTCTGTTCCTAAATTGCACAGGTACAGGTGACACCCAACACAACTGCAATCTTGAGTGTAGCAACCAGGGAGGGGCACAAGGTGGCAGCACTTTTGCTGTTTGATCCAGATGCTGCACTCACAGGGGGATTTTGTGAAGTTCCCCAGAGCTGTGCATTATAACTCAATACAAACACAGCACCAGCGTTCTGTGAATGTGTCGGACCTGTTTCTTGTGTCTGTACCGAAGGAAGTTTATGGAACCACAGGAACGACTGATCTGTCCCCCGAATATGAACATTAATTTTGCTCTGATTTATAAAGCATTACACATTACTTTGTGATTGAAAGTTGGCTCATTGGGAATCAAGGGACTTGTTTCAGGCTGCATCCTTGTACATACAAGTGCTTAAGCTAACTGAAACTGCCTTTAAATGAAACAAGATTTGTGACAAATAACAGTGCACAAGACATTTCAAAGAAGTCTTGAACACATGAAGTGTGCGTACATAAGTGGAAACGGGGAAATGTTTGATCAGCTTGGCTGTTAGACTCTTAAGAGGAAACGGCACACGATACCTTTGGTCCCGCTGGCCGTCATTCAGCATTCCCATCAGGACATCCTCCCCTGGCATGTGCTGCCAACTTTACGTGGAGAACATGCCTCAGTGCTCAGCAGTCAACCTGCACACAGGCGGCGCTGCCTCCATCCTGGCTCATAAACCGAGTCTGACAAACATGCTCTTGAAACTTCAGGAGCAAGTTCACATCCTGGTTCCTAAACAGACTTAGATATTTCTGTATAGTCCCATTGTAGTCTGGGGTACAAGCCTGCAGTTATAACCACACTCACAAGAATCCTACCATTGGAATCTGATCTGCGCAAGGTGATACGAACGCTGGACTGAGCCCAGTACATCATTCTTTCAGCCCTTCAGAGCCCGATTTCAACATCAGCATCAAAAGCCACCAGGCACTGGCTGAGGACTTGGGACCCTTCTCTTCCTGCTAGCTCAGCCTGAAGCAAAAGAGCGACTCTCCCTCACTGGCTGGTTTCTGCCCCCAGAACTGCAGCTCTCCCAGAGGCTGCCTGAACACTAACCCACACTTCCTTTACCAACTCTGCCTTTCAGACAGAAACCAAAAACACTCACCCAAGTGTCTTGCTCTGCCACAGTGGCCGGCTCGGTGCAAAGGCTGTGGCACGCAGCATCATCAGGGAAGGCAGCCTGGAAGGCCCATAAAGGTTTGCACTTCTGCAACCTTCCTTCCCCTTGGAATAATGATCTCATCTGTGGTGGCACTCTGGGGAACTGAGGACATGTCAACAGGCTTTGTCAGCTGCTAGTTCCCAAAGCCCATTACAAGCCTCTGGTGGGTGTCTTTGGAGAGCCTGGCAACGTGTTGGAGATCCCCTTCTCACGACCTCTGATGGCACATTGGGATCTCCGACGACAGGTGCATAACGTGAGATCTGATACTTGCTGCGTTCACGTGTCAGGCTTCTGTGTCCCGGTGGATTCAAAGCTTCCCAGATTCTATCCTGAGAAGTTAATCCCGCATTTACCAATCCCTAAGTTGCATCATCTTTGAACATTCACACAAAAACAATCAGGGAATGTGTCCCCAATGGACCCCAGATGAGAGCAAAGGCAGAACATAATGTCAACCACACACACACGAGAAGTCATGGGACTCATTCAGACCACACAACGGAAACCAACTTGGAAGTGGGAATACTGACAAATTCTAGGAAAACATACTTCATTGATGCTGAGCAGAGTAGCGAGGGAAGCCCATGGAACACGGCTCCTGCAGGAAAGCAGCTGTGACTGGCTCTCTCAAGGAGAAGCACCTGCTTCAGGTGTCTTAGCTGGAAGATCCTGTTCACATAAGTCACCCACATCTTGATTCAGCAGTGCCCAAGGGTCGCCAGAATTATCCACACTGAATTCTGCTAAGCACCCATTGGTTTCCCTGGTTGTGAAACGAATGCTAAAAGAGAAAACTCATTTGTCTGGACAATATCTGGAATCCTGTGTCAGACACACGTACAGTTGGGTCTAGGTTCGATATCCACATCCCCAAATGAAGCCTGGTCCTCCGAGCCGGCAGAGACTCTGGCTCTGAGAGGTCACCCTCACTTCTGCCCTCGGTGCAGGCCACTCTCAATTCCCATCATTCTCTAGGATGCCCAGCAGTGAGCGCACTTCCACCGAGTCCTCCGACAGGGACGGTACCCAGATTACAAGGACCCTGGGGCGGAAACGTCGAGGTGCAGACGCCAGCAGTCCTGAACGCCAGCCTTGCCCTTGCCCTTGTCCCACGATGTCACCCAAGCATTTCTCTCCCAGCACCCACAGTGTCCGCCAGGGAGCCTCATCTGGCTCTCTGCCCCAGGACTGACACCAGTGCGCCCTCATGCCTGCTCAGGCTGGCCCACCTTTTGTCTGCAAACTCCTTCAGACCTGTTGCAAGTCCCACTGTGGCACTCTCACCAACTGAGCTGCTGGGCAAATGATTCAAGGACCTGGATTGACTCAGAAACCATAGAACTACTAAAGAAAAATGGGAAATGCTCTCCAACTGGAATGGGGAAAGTCGTAGGAAAGACGCCAAACGCACAGGCAGGCAAAGCCAAAATAGGTGAGACTACAAACTAACAAGCTTCTGTACAGCAAAGGGAACTAGTATTGAACTGAAGAAGCAATCAACAGAATGCAAGAAGATTTTTGCATACTACACGAATGAAAGGACTAATATCCAGGATTTACAGAACTTCAGAAACTGAGAGGCAGTTAAGAACAAAAAACAAAAGAACCCCAAAAAAACTCTGAAAAAATGGGCAAAGGAAATGGACACTTTTCAAAAAAGAACAGACTCAAATGGCTGCCATGAAAAAATGCTCAGGCTCCCTAGCCATCAGGGAGATACAGATGAAAACCACATTGAGGTACCGCCTAGCTCCGGTGAGATTGGCTTACATTCAGAACTGAACACCTGTCGGTGTGGACGTGGGGAGAAAGGCACCCTCCGTCACTGCTGGGGGCAGTGCCGGCTAGTACAACCAATATGGAAACCACTGTGGAGCCTGCTTAGAGGATTTGGGTCTTGACAAGAACAGCAAGCACTTTATGGCCAGTCTTCAATCAAGGAACTCCTTCAGTCCAGCTTCCCTTAATGGTTTCAAGCCTCATCTGCTTCCCACATCAGAGCGAGACCACAAGATCATCCTAGGGAGGTCTTACCAAGCCCCTCCCCCAGGGATCTTAAAACTGTAATGGCTGACTCAGGCTGTATGGGTGCCGAGTTTATCAAGCAACTCAACAGCAGCATTCTTCAGCTCGAGCATCAAAATATGAACACCCAGCTCCTCATTCAGTACTCTAATCTCATCAGCAAGATGACCAGGCCTGACCTCATCTGGAGCCTCCCGATGTATGGCCTTACCAACAGATGCTGTGGCTAGACAGAGGCAGGCACCTGGTACCTGGAAGGAGCATGGTTCAAGAGAGATGTCAGCCTT